AGGGATTAGAGCATTGCATCTCTCTCCCGGAACTAGTGACTTTTTCCTCCAACACATGTAGCTTCTTGAGGTGCTGTCCCACAATTGGGCATATTCCACCTTAACTGAGGCTTTGTGAGAGGTGCAGTGTATTAGTTTTAAAAATCAGAAATGGGAGGAAGTCCTTTTAAGAAAACAAAACAAAGCAAAAAAAAAAAAAAAAAAAGGAAGAGGGGCACTTCTCGGGCTTTGATCTCGGGGTCCTGAGTTCAAGCCCCATGTTGGGTGTGGAGATTACATAAATAAAAACTTAAAAAAAATAGAAAGAGGAAGAGAAGGTTAAGTGACTTGTCAGTTACTTATTGGTCTACCCGGGCCTAGAATTCTAGGGAGGACTCTCATCAGTTCACCCTTGATGTGGCCGTGTGGGTGGGAGCCCAGGAACTTGAAATGAACCTTCACCTGATCACATTAGCACAGCCCACTGGATCAGTTTACCAGGTAATTGAGCTATTACTTTGGAAAGGATTTAAAAAAAAAAAAGTGGAATAAGATAGGTAGGAAATCAACTTTGGTGGGAAAGGGAGCCGGTCAGACCCTGGAGGGAGGGGCAGGGGGACGACGGGCTCTCGTCCCCAACAGACCTTACTACTCCCTGTAGCACTTTACGGTTACTATAGGACTTTCACATCCATCACTAACCTGGTTCCTTACAGGGTAGAACTGCAAGTGGTTTTTATCTCACTTGGGGGGGGGGGCGGGTGTTAGTGCTCAGGAGTTAAGAGCCTGGGCCACCAGCTCATTGGGGTGGGGGTAGTGCTCCAAGTCCACACTTGTTCCTCCCACCCTTCCTCCACCCACCCGGTGTAACACTGGATGCTGAGCTGTGTGCGCAGATCCCCAGGACGTGAGTGCTGCAGAGGTCTGTGTTCGTGCGCTGGGGGCGGGAGATGGGTTCGTGGCTGTACCTGGAGTCTTTCTGCGTGCTGCCCTGCGGGGTGCCTTGTTGCCTGGCGGCCAGAGGCTGAGTGTGAGCTGAGCCCCCCACCTCCCCGGCCTGTGCACCCGCGGAAAGAGGCTACTCTGCGCCCCCGGGGAGTGGTGGCCCTTCGGAGCGGTCTGGGCCTTGCTCTGCTCCCTTTAGCCTCTCTGCTTCTGTCTCCCGGGGTCTCCTCGCACCCTCATCTGCAAGGGTTTCCAATTTCCTCTATCAGTTTCTCCGACCAGGTCCCTGGGGCTTTGCGTGCCCTTTCCAGTCGCTCGGATTTATCTAGCAGCGGGAGGTCGGGGGGAACGCGATCAGGTCCAGAGGGTGACCTCTGGAGGAGGGGGAGCCGTGCGGCAAAGGGAGGAGAGGAGGTTCCGGGACAGAGCTAGAGATGCGGGCGGGGGGCTTAGCCAGCAGTACCCCCTCCGCCAAACCCAAGGCACCTCCCACCCTCTGTCCTGCTCCCCGGACGGGACAAGAGGCGGAGTCTCGTCGGCCCCACTTGAGGCCACTCGGCTGCGCAGGCCCCCGGGCCCCTACGACCCCCACCCCCCACCCCGCTCTCCACCCGCCCGCCCCAGGCCGCCCCGAGTCCACTCCAGATCCGGGCCGGGTTTCCCCCGCGTCGCTGGGGTCTCCGCCCCTCGGAGCCGCCGCCCCGGCCCAGCAGAGCAACGCAGCGGGAGGCGCCCGCAGCGCCGGACCCCGAAGCTCCCCGCGGGCGCTCGCTTGCGGGACTGAGCCGCGGCAGACCCCACAGCCGCACTCGGACTCCGAGTCGGGGTGCTCCGGTCCCCGCGCGTCACCCGAACCCGACCCTCGGGGCTCCGAAGTGACCCCTCTCCCGGCCCAGTTCGCTGTCCGCGTGGCCCGCCCCGCTCCGAGTCGCGGCATCCCTGCCCAGGCTCCGGCTCCGGCGAGGTAGGGGGCCGCGGGCCTGGGGGCTGGGGGCTGGCGTGCTCCTCCTCTGCGGAATGGGGGCGGCAGAAGGCCACCGCCCCCCAGGGGAAGACAGCCGCTGCGCCCCCTAGAGCCCAACCCCTCCGGTCCGGTGACCCAGATAACGGGGACCGGGACTTTGCCTAGATGTTCGGAGGCACTTTCCCGTCCGTCATCCTTCCCCCACCCCGTCGCCATTGAGCTCCCACCTGTCCCCAGAGCCTGGCGCCCAGGGGGGCCCCTGCCAAGTAGACAGCTTCCTTCAGAATCTCCCTCCCGCTTGCCGCCCCCACTCCCCACTCCTGGAAAGGTGAAGAGGAAAGACAGGGGAAGACTCTCCAGTGCAGCCCCCTAATCCATGGCTGTGGCTCTGGGGCACTCCCCCACCTCTCCTTCGTCTATCTTTCGCATCCCCTGGCTCTGCCCCATTTCATCTTGTTTCCCCTGTCTCTGTTTCCAAGGTCTCTGTTCTCTTCCAGACTCTTTTTCTGGCTCTCTCCTCCCCTTGACCCCTTCCCCCCCATCGCACACCGTGGGGAGAAGGGGATGTGTCGCTGCTTTCTATTTCTGGTCTCCCTGGGGAGGGGGTGCAGCGCTAGGACTTTTTTGGCATCCGCTGTGTCCTGAGTCACGAGGTGTCATGTCTGTGTTTCTGTCCGTGCCTCCTCCCACTCCCCTCTCCCATCCTCTCCTGCCCAGCATCACCCTGTCCGCCTTTGTCTCCTTCCTGTCTTTTCGGCTCTCTTCTTTGGGCGCTTTGTGTAGCTGCTGTCTCTTTGTCTCCGCCTCTCCGCTCAATGCTCCCTCTGCTCCCTCTCCTCCCTCTTCCAGCTCTGAGAAGCTGTCGACCTCAAGGGCATCAATATTTCAGGTGTGTGGGGCGCGGTGGAGGTGGAGTGGGGGGCTCCCAGCATGCCCAGCGAGGACAATAATCATCCCCTCCCGAGTGGTCATTCATATTTATAAGATTGAAAGAATGGAACCAAGGATGCGAGAATGTGGAGGGTAAGGGAAACGCTGCCCCTCTTCTTGGAGCTGGGTCCGGGAGATGCCTGAACTACATCTCCCACAGTGCCCTGGAGGCACAGGGCTGCCTCTGCCTAGACACCTTATGGGAATGATAGTTCAAGGAGCCAGGTTGGAAGACGCTGTTCTGAAGGTTAGGAAGAGATTGGAGTGAGGAACCAGGGTTGTAGGGCCAGCCCGCAGCTTTGGCTTGGCCTGGAACCCCTAGTCTGCTTTGTTCCCAGCACCCACCATCCCCAGGATTTGAGGAACTTAGAACTTTTGTCTAGCTACACCCACCACCACCACCACCCACAAATGGAAGAGGTGTGGAGGAGTGCCCAGGAAGAAAATGGGAGAGATGAATTTGCAAGCTCTTCTTTCTTTCCTATGACCCCCTTACAAACAATCTTATCTAAGATGTAGACACACCCTTTGGAAACAGTCTCCCCTAACTGGAAAGCAAAGGACGGTAACTGAAGCCTAACGTCTTGAATTAGTTGGATGTGTCCTTGTCTACAAGTTGCTTATGTTCTGTCCCCTTTTGGGGCATCAGGGAATGGCTGGGGTCTATACAGAACTACCAGCTAGTATTTTGGGGGGTCCTGTGATCAGCTGGTGAGGTTGCCTAGAAATGTAGATAGGAGCCACAAGCCAACTTGCTCATCTCTGAGACCCATCATTCCCAGACCCTGCCACAAGGAATCTGGAGCCAGGATAACTTAACTTTTAGCCTGGCTCTGCCCAAGCTGAGTCACCTTAGGCAAGATCTTAGCCTCCTTCGGTGCTTGTTTCTCATCATGAAAGAAGTGGTTTGAATCTGATGGTCTCTAGTGATCTCTAAGATCCTCTGGGCCTGTCCTTCCCTGCTCTCTGATGGTCTGGTGCTGTCTTACCTCGTCCAGGTAAGGATTACCTGGGAGAGCCTTAGACATCAGCATCAGGTGGAAAAGAAGAGGGAGATGGGACTCCTGTTTTGAAGCCATGTCTGTATAGCAAGCACACCGTGTTTATGTGGGCTGTGTTTGTGGCATGGAAGCTAAGACCATCCCTAAATTCATTGGTGTCATTGATTGTCCCCTCTCCCAAACCTAGCTCATGTTCTTGTTAACAAAACAAAAACAAAAATCCAACCAAACCAATATCATCCCCCAGATAGTAGCTGGTATATTTATTTCCTGGGATGTTGGTTAATGAGGCTTAAGGTAGGTTATGTGAAGGGAAAATTATAACTGGCTGAATAAGAAGAGAGTGGTTTAATTGGTGGATTTGGTTGGTCTGGAGGAGAGACGTCTGGAAATGAGGAGTCATTAGGACATGGGGAGGGGGTTTTCTCTTGGCTCTGCCTCTGGCAGGGAAAACAGAAGGGCTGGAGGCCAAAGGGTGCCAGATCCATAGGAGTTGACCCAAAAAATGTGAATAGGAAGGACACAGAAAGTCTTGAGTAGAAGATAGAGCAAGAATTATAGGAAGAAATTAGAAAGAAGAATAGATGGAGAGAAAGAACAGAGAGACTCTCTGGAGGGAAGGTAAATAGGAGAGAGGGGCATGGGTGATCTTTGTGGACATTTTGTTTGCAAGAGCTCCCACAGAGCCCTTTCCCAAATGATCATCTAGCCCTCAGGTGGAGCCGGGTCTCCCTATGGAGAAGGAGGGAACAAAATCCAGCAGGAGTAAGAGAAAGGCAGGTTTGATTGGCCTGGGAGGAAGGACTTTAAATTTTCTAATGGAGCTGTCCATCTGTTTACTCTTCTGGCTTATGTTTGAATGTATGTGTCAGAGGGTACTGGGGGGGGCAATGAGGGGAATCTGGAGTCTACTCCCCCTCCCTTTGCCCTGGGATTGTGACTGGTAGTGGTAGGAAGGGGAAGGACTGAACCCTCTGTTTTTCCCAGGGAACTCTTTTGTAGGAGAGTGGAGATGATGGTTTCTCATGTTCCTGCAGAGGTCTTAGAAAGGTGACACCTAAGACATCCCCTGTAGGGATGTCTTTCAATTTTTTACCCTTCCAAGGGCCTTCTGCCCCTTGTCTGAGTCCCTGGGGGCAACTGGAGGTAAAGATCTCAGGCAAGTCTCTGAGGAGCTCATGGGGTTCATGAGTTGTGACTGTCGAGTAGTATTCTGGGTAGAGCAGGGTAGGATTGGGAGCTCTGGGAGCTGATCAGAGCTGGAGGTCCTGTATTCCCAGGGTCCCTGTGGAGAGCAGAAGAGAAGGAGTATTTGTGTAGGAAAGGGCTGTGGGGGACTGAGTGTTTAGGGGCCACATGTGGAAACAGGGACTCTAACCACAATACGGGGTTGTCTCTTTTCTGCAGAGTAATGAAGCTGGAAACCAGTTATGGCACAGCCAGCTCAGAGGTCCCTAAGCTAGAAAGAGGCTGATCCAGATGTGGAGTCACACTCAGACATCCCGCCAAGTCCAGATCCGAATCTGGGCTTGAGGTTGAGACTGAGACCTTGGGGGTTAAGTCAGGGTCTGAGGCCAAGGCCAAGTCCTGGAGGGCCAACCCCAGGTCCAGATCATGGCCTGAGGCTAAGGCTGAGCCATTGGACTTCATGGTAGAAACAGAACAGAAGTTTGAGGAGGTGCTGGCCATCTCAGGGAACATCTACGGTGGCCTCAACTACCTTCCCAGTCACTACCACAGCTGGCTCCGGATCCCAATCCCAGCATGGTGCTGGCCACACGCAACGGAGGAGTGGTAAACCGGCAGGGCCCAGGGGAAAAGAGGGGGAACCACGTTTGGGTGAGTATAGATCTTAGGAAGGAGAAGAGGCAAATCTCTCCCCTAGCCCTCCTCTAGAGGGCTCTAAAGAGGAGCCAGTCCACTTTAGAACCAGAGTCCGGTGAACGGATCCAGGGGCCTGGGCAACTGAGTAGGATGGAGGACACACGGAACTCCGAGGAGCGGAGGGAGGGGCTGGTGAGAGCTTCTATATTTGAGGATTCCTTTGAGGAGTTTCTGGGGGCAGGAGCGCAAAAAGAAGAGAGCAGTCAAGAGAGGGTAGACCGGAGGTGAGAGCAAGAGTGGGGTCAGGACCTCTGAGTAGACTGAGCATGGAGAACACCCGGACGCGGTGAGCAGGTGACGGGGTCTAGACGGAGTTAAGGAGACTAGTAGCAGGGACTAGGGACTAGTAGCAAGCTCCTGGGGTGGAGCCAAGGAAAGGGGGCGTGGCGATGCTCAGGGACCGGGTGCCAGCCGAACCCGACCATCTCGATCATCTCGAAATGACGAATGGTCTTTCTGCAGGCTCTGGAATTCGAGACCTGAGTGCTGAGGATATCTCCCTGGGCAGGCCCGGGTCTGGCCTGGCGCCCGGGGTGGTGACGACGGAGCGCTCAACGTGGGGGAAGAGGAAAGCCCTGTGAGCCGAGAGCCCTAGCAGGGGCGGAGGGGCCCCTAACCGCCAGGGTCCGCAGATCGCGATGGCAAGGGCGTCGCGCAGCTGCTGCAGCGCTTCTGCTCCCAGCTAGTCCAGCCACAGCACCCGGGGGTCGAGGTGGCACAGCTCATCCGGGATAACCAGCTGGGCCTCCGGGAGCTGGAGAAATACCGCCTTATCCCCAAACAGGTGAGAAGGACTGGGGAGCTCAGAGAGCCAGTCGTCCTCCCCTTCTCACCCACTCGCTGGCTTGCTATCTCTGCTGGCTCTGCCAAGTGGGGGCGCCCGTGAGCCCTGCCCCCCCCCCCCCCCCCGCACTCCCAGCCCTTATCCAGGCCCTTCTGTCCAGGGGGTGTCAAAAAGCTCCCAGACTCCGAGGTGTCAAACCCTCATTCCTTACTCCAGATGGCTGGACCCTTTCGCTGCCTCCCCTCTATCGATCCTGCCTTCCCCCAGGGACCCAAAGATCCTAACCTGAGCCTTTCTCCTTCCTCTGCGTCTCCCCTGTCCTACCGACTAATCTCTTCCCTTCCCTTCCACTCCCCCCGTCTCTGGCTCCCTGGCTCTGACCCCATCCTTGGGGAACAGGTACATATTCTGAGGCCTTGCACCTGGTTCCTCCATGCTACCCTGGGGGTGGGGTGGGGTGAGGGTGGGCACAGGCTTTCACATACCCCATGCCACCTGGCCTGGCACTATAGGTCCTCCTGAGGGGGCCCTACCGGGATCCCGTGGATGTTAATGTAGGAGTGAAGATGCCAAGAAGCACTGGGCTCTCCAGGCCTCCCGCTGTCCACCCGGTGCTCACACTTGACCCCCGCAGGACATCCTTAGATCTCAACCCCACTGGCTGGGCTGGGCGTGCGGCTGGTGACGTGTGGGCCTCGGGCACCTTCTCGACGCTGCCCACCGAGGCCATGTTGGAGGCTGGTGGCGACGTGGCACACCTCCTCCTGTCGCCTTCCTTTCCCGCAGCGCGACGTGCTTCCGGACGGGGCTATCACCCAGGACTGGCCGAGCAACCTGCGCCTGCTGGCGGCTGAGGGCCTGGAGTGGCACGTGGACAGCCGCGCATACCCGCAAGTGCTCACGCTGTGCACGCGCCCCTTCTCCATCCTCAGGGCGGTGACAGGTCGTGGCGCTACCTCCACATCGACGCCTTTGGCAGCGATGGCGCGCAGGTGCAGAGCCAGCTTTCTGACACCTGCACCGCTAGGCCCCGCGTCTCGCCGGCCTCAACGTCATGTGCCAGGTTTTCCTAGCGCCCCAGTTATGGTCGCAGCTGGCTGACTTCTGCAGGCGGACAACTAGGGCCGCTCCTATCCGAGGGGAGAGAAGAAGCACTTTAGAACTGATCTCCAGCAAGCCCTGCCCTCCACCGTTTGCAAGCTCCGCCCCCTCCACCGGGCGCTCGGCTGCTGGCTCTGAAGCCTACCCTGACCCGGAGGAGCGCCCTCCCTAAACGTTTACTCTACCTTTCTGTCTGCCATCTGGACTCTAACGCGTCCAAACCCTGCGTCTGTGTTTCTGCCCACGCCTTGATCCGAACCGCTGGGCTTGGGGGAGGCCCCTGCGTTGCTATTGTCCACCTTTCCCCCCCTAACCGGGCAAAGAATGGGTTCCTTCCCAGACTCATGAGCCTTTTCTGGTCGGTCCGCCCTCGCCTAACAGTGAACTCTGCCTTCCTGACTTCTCCCTTCTGCCCCCTCAGGGGCGAAAGGGGGCAGAGGGATGTGCTACACCCAGCTGCCCAACACGTATTACTTTTCTTCCTCCCTCCCTTCTCAAGCTCTCAGAGCTTGCTGTGCATTCCGATCCTTGCCTCCTTCTCAGACTCCCGTGCCTCTGCATCCTCTCCCTCCTTCTTTCTGTGCTCCTATCCTCCTCCCTGGACCTCCCAGACACTGAGCTCCTCATGGCCCATTTGTCTGCTTCTCCATTCCTCTTCCCCATGACCCCTTCATCATCCGCCCTGTGTGCAATAGGGAGAGAGAGCACCTGTAAATGAACTAGAATTATAATGTCCTGTTGACCTTCTCCTAACACATTTTTCCAAGCCTGCTCCCTCGGAGGGTTTCCTCCCACTTTGTTCCCTGTTGCTATTTTAAAGCCCCCTTCCCATGCCCCCAACCAGTGGCCTGAACCAGGCCATGGACCAGGGAGGTGGGGCTGGAGAGTTTGGTGTGGGGTGGGCAGGTCCCACAGCCCAGTATGGGGCTGTCTTCCGGTTCTAACCAGGCTGCCTTCTAGCGCCACTGGAACCCCCACCCCAGATATTTTTGGACGTGCCTCCCTTTCTCTGGTTCCTTTATGCTTCTTGGACTTTGGCAGTTTTCTATTTGAATGCAAGTAGTAACAGCTGCAATTGCACAGCACTGTCTCCTACACTGGATCCTCACATTTACCACCGAGGGAGGACACAGAGGCTCGCAAAGATCAAAGTGACTCCCAAGTCACTCAAAGTAGCTGGGAGCCTGGCAGGGACTAGAATTCAGGTGTCCCAAGCCCCAGGCATGCCTCAGAACCCCACTCTGTGACCATGAGTGTTTGGACTTCTTGTTGGGTGATGCACAATTGGTGGGGATTTGTTGACAGCAAGCACAGGGGGCACTGGGGATGGAATTGAAGACATGGGCAGAGCAGGGCATCTGGAGGTGAAAGAAGGTGGGCAAAGAGGCCCGCGGCTGCTTCATCACTTCCCCCAGTTCCGGTTTTGCTGCTGTGCTGCACTGCCTTGCTTGGCTGCCTTCGGCGCCTGGCCATGCTGCCACCCTCCCTATCACTTCAACCGAGGCTGTATTGCAATAAAACGGACCCTTAGCCCACCCTCTGTGTCTGTTTCACTTCTCAGTGGGGGAGGGATGAGACGCATTATCCTCCCCCCCTTTCCCTAGCAGCCTGTATTAGAGAGGATCTCTAAGCCCTGTGGCAATGGGGCTAATGACTTCCTGGAGCTGGAGAGGGCTGCTGGCCGCTGTGCGCCCCCACCCCCACCCCAGCCAAGCGGCAGAAAGAAGCAGTTGCTCAGAAGCGAGGCGGGCAGCTGCGCGGCGCCCTGACAAGCCTGGGTCTCGTTTTCCACTGGACCTGGGAGTCTGGGGCTACCCAAATTCTATGGGCTTCTCTCCCAAGTTCCCCTTGGCATCCAGGACCGGCCTCCCCCAGCCCCACAATCCAGGCATCTAACTCCCAGCTCTCGGGCTTTCTCAGCCAGCGCGCCCGCTTTCCGGATTCCTGGGTGGGCACCGCGCAGAAGGGGGAGGAGGTGGAGGGAGCATGGGCACCGCCCCCCCGTCCCCCCCGCCCCCGGAGCCAAGCTCCGGAGCGCCGGAGACTGCGATTCCGAAAAGTAACACGCGGGGGCGCCAGGACTCACGGACGCAGGCGAGGCAGCGCAAGGTGGTTACCGTCCGTGTGAGTGTGTCCATGGGCGTCTTTGTGTGTCTGCGTTTCTGTACATGTGTGTACGAGTCCCAGGGTGTCCGGGTGGGATGTATTCGGGACAACGTGCCTGGTGTACCCCAGAATCAGGTACTCCAAGGGGCTTTTTGATGAGGACGATGCTTGATATGTTACTCTGTATGTGTGGATGGGGAGGTAGGACAACTGTATATCGTCGTGTGTGCAAGGCGTAGCCTTTGAGTCCCTGAAACCGCATCTTGGATTTTTGAAGTCACATTCCCTCAGGGTTTTTACCCCCTCCCACCATCCCATGTGAAAGGAATGAGGGCTCTCAACGCAAATCTCCATTACCCTGGTCACATCTTCAGCATGTGTCCGAATGACACTGCCAGGCTAGGTGTGATATTGTGTTTGTGTAAGTGGGTGTGTCTCAGAATATCAGTGTAACTCTGAATAATAGTATGTTTGTGTGTGACAGGTGGGTCTGGAGGAGGCTGGTTCAGGATTATGAAAGTACATAATTTGCTTTCTCTGGTTAGTTTGTGGCTATCACCTTCATGGCGTGTGTGTTTTCCTTCTCAATCTCTCCAGAAGCTATCTCTGTGTCTCCCCTCATCCCATCTCTGTCTCTTTCTCTCTCTCTCATTCTCTTGGTGACTCATCTCTGCGGCTTTGCCCTCCCCCGGCTTGCTGGGTCTCCCATCCCCCACTCAGGAGTGGGTGGGGGCATGAGAGAATGGGACCCCGGAACTGAAAATCAGGGTGAGTGCCCTCTTATTATTACTTATCATTCCCAGACCCATCAGTGGCCCCCAGCCCCTCTCAGTCCCCTCCCCACTCTACTGAATTGGGCTGGGCAGGCGATAGGGCAATGACGCTTTTTAATTGGGCCATTTTCAGGGGGACCTTCAGTACCTTCTTTCAGGTCAAAGTGGAGACCCCTGCCCCTCTCATAAAGTGCCCCCCTCCCTGCCTGTCCCCCAATGGCTGACGCAATGAAAGGCTGCAGAGGTGAGTCACCGGTGGGGGGAAGGGAAAGATGGGGGGACGGTGAGCTGCGGGGGTCCCCAAGTCCCTGCCCTCTTTTTCTCTTCCAAAGCTTCTCAGGGAAAAGACAATGCTCTTTCTCCCCCCTCCCCTGGCTTTCCAAATCTTCAGTTTGGATCACTACTCCACTGGACCCCATCTTTTCCTGTTGCCCTCTTGGAGAGTATGAGAGATTCAGAAACAAAGACAGAGAGAAAGATTTATACAAATAACTCAGAGCAAACATCAGGCATCCCCTCCAGGTCTCCATCTCAGCATTGCCTTTTCCAGCTCTGGCTCTCCATTCTTTATCTTTCCTGCCATCTTCCTCCTCTACCAATTCCAGGCAACTGTCCCCAGTTCCAGAAACCCCTAGAGGCAGCAGGGTATGAAGGGCACAGCACATCTCTGGGAGGTGGGGTGTGTCTGAATGAGCAGACCCAGGTAGGGAACTGAGATAAAGTGAGGCAGAAACAGACTCAGAGATTCAGAGTCCATGCGGACATGACCCAAATTGTGGAATCACCGAGCCTATTGCCCCGAGTGCCTCGGGATCCATCTTGCTGCCCCTGTCCCCCACTCCATGCTGACTGAGATTCTTGGGATGTCAGCATCTGAGAAGGTCCCCTGAGCTTCTGGGCTGAGAGGAGGAAGCAAGGGGTGAAGAGTTGGGGAAGAATGGAACACTCTGAAAACAGGGGGGCAAGGACTGGAACTTGGGGGCTGCAGATGAGTGGCTTTACTGCACAGCAACCTAGAGATAGTGAATGTGGGGGAGGGGCAGCAGATCAAAGACATGGAGACATGCACATAACTTCTAACATAAATCAAAAAGCATAGAAGGATCCAGAGAAATGCACAAAGACACATGTGTGTACACACACACACACACACACACACACACACACACTATTGACACATCAAGCCAGGCTCATTTTTCAGACATCAGCAGATCCCCAGACTGGATCCACTCAAAGTCTCCCAACCACACAGGTATATAGACACTCAGAAGTACCGGAAACCCCAGACACTCATACAAAGACATCTGGAAATAGGCAAAAACATGGCCACACAGATTGCAAGAGAAGATTTCATATTTAAAGTAGAACACTATCATGCCCATCCATTCTATCTGATTAAATACACACTTGGTCTTCCAGTTCCCTTTCTCCCCCCCATATGTTTCATTGAACTCTGCACATGTGCACACATGCACATGCATATATATGTACATGCACACATAGGTGCTCGTGCATGTACAAAAGCCTACAGGAACACAAACCTTTTTTCTAGGTGCCTGTCTCCCTTCATCTCACACTTAGTTGTGAACCCCATCAGCCTCTGTCTGCCCCCCTTGGCTCTTTCCCTCCTCTCTTCCTTCTCTCTTGGATGGCTTCCCTTCCCCCCTCCAGATGTCTGAGCCATCTCTCTGATTCATCCTCCTCGGGAAGGTAACGTGACCCCCTCCCCATCCTACTGCTCACTGTAACCAGGCTGGGAAGATAAAGGGGAAAAGAAGAGGAGGGGAAAGAGTAATGAGAGGAGCCCCCAGGTTAAGGAGTGGTCCTAGATAGTTGTGTGTGTGTTGAAGGTGGCGGGAGAGGCAGAGCCTTGGGGTCGGCTGCCCCCTCCTCTCTCTGCTTTCTTTGCTATTTCCACAGTCACCTTGGTTCTTAGTGCTGTGTTGTTGTTGTTTTTTTTTTTTCCTCCTCCTTTAGCCTGTTCCTTCTACCTGTTCCAGATTTCTTCCTTCCTCCCTCCCTCTCCTGCTCCCATCTTTTCTCTTTCCTCTCTCTCTACTCCTCCCCACCTCTTTCCCTGCAGAGCTGATGGGCTTTCTTCTGGGAAAGTCGAGCCACTGATGGAACCGAGAAGCCACTGCTGGCTATAGAGGGAAAGCACGTGAGTGAGTGAGTGTGTGTGTGTGTGTGACAGTGAGAGAGAGAGAGAGAGAGAGAGAGAGAGAGAGAGAGCAAGCAAAGGAGGGTCAGTGCTAGGAAGTGATGAGGAGGGGGTTGAGGACTGGCTCTGAAAGAGTCCCTGCGCCCCTGACAGACAGCCCTTATCTCGGTTTCCAGAATCTTAGGGTGCGGGTGCCCTGCGTGTGCCCACAGGCACCCCTGTGTCCGCAGTTCTTGTGTGTCTGGCATGTGTCATTGTCACTCCCCCCTTTCCCTGCCCACGCCCCCGCACAGCTCTCTGCCTGCACCGCAGCCCCCTCCAGCCTCCCTCCTCCCCTTCATTCCTGCAGTGGCTGCTCCCCTGCCCCCTCCCCATTTCCGTCCTCCCCCCCACCCCCGCCCACGGGCTGGTCTCCCTTCACTGGACCCGGCTCGCTGATGGATTCTCTTTGCGCAATCTGTGCGTCATCGCCCCCCCCAGCTGTCCAAGCCCCCAACCCCAACGCCTCTGGCAGGAGATACGGACAAGGGGTCTGGTGGTAGAGAGGGGCTATCTCTGACGTTGCACACCCACCCCCACCCCTCCGCAACGCGTTCAAACCTTCCCTTTAAGCAGTGGAGAGAGCTGGGGTTGAGTCACCCCCCCAACCTGCGCAACCCCCTCCCCACCTGGTCTGCTCTCGCCCTCCAAACGTCCTTTGGGGGGAAGCAGAGGGAGGGAAAGAAGCAGGAGGAGGGTGCAGAGAGGTGGGCTGACAAGGAGCAAGCCGGGGCACCAACATACGCTACAGTGAGCTGGACAGAAGGACAGACACACCTTTTTCTCCAAACACGCACCGACTGTGAACAGACACGACACAGAGGCATACACATCCTCAGCCTTTCCCCTTTCTTCCGACTCGGACCCTTTCCAACGGGATTACCAAAACCGCAAGATTCACCCATCTGCCCCGGCCCAGGGCCGGAAGCCCGCACCGCAGGTCCGCGAACAGCGCCCGCAGGCGCGCAGATCAGTCCCTCCTCTCTCGGGTTCACGCCGTCCTTGGGTGTGTTCCCCATGGACCGTGCGTGCGGTCGGGAATGGGGAGTCCAGCCCCTTCCTCGGCTTTGGAATCCTTATCCTCCCCCTCCCCAGTATGGATCTCCTACTGATGCCCAGTCAGACTCTGGGAGTGCCCCCATCATACTCGGCTCAGCGACGCGGGCTCCCGCAGCTGCAAGTTGCTCTGTAACCCACCCTCCCGCCTTGCAACGTCTCTGCATCCACCCTTCCATTCACTCTCCCATTCATTCATTCATCCTTTTCTCCTCGTCCCTCCTTCATTCATTCATAGCCCCCTGCCCCGCCCGCCTCAGCGATTTCATTCATTCATTCATTCATTCATTTCCCCGGTGCTCGGCTAGCGCACGCCCCTCCAGCCGAGGCTCCCGGCGCGCAGGCGCGGGCCGGGAGAGGAACACATTCTCCAATCACCGGGCT